CCATCCACTGCTAGATGCTAAATGATAGGTTGAGTTTGATGAGCTTGAAGGAAGTTCAATTATTGCTGCAACTATTGCATGGGACAATGCTGCCTCATGGACATACCAGAGGGCAATAGATGCACTTCAGGCCACAATATGGCAGGTCTCCCCTTCTCACTTCATTTAATCATTTTGGTTTGGTTATGCTATTTTATTCTAATTTTTCTCCATTCCTCATTAACTTTTCCTTTTAACTCCATGTTTATGAAAATGCAGCTTTCCTCCGTTCTTATAACAGTGCAGAAGAAAAATCCCCATTCGCATATACTTGCCAATACACATGTGCCGGGTAAAGCGTCTTGGGACCATGCGGTTAACCGTGCTTTGCAAATAATAAGCAGAAATGACCCTGTACTGATCAAGGTTGTCAACCGCTTGTGTTTTCTAATCACTTATGCTCTTCACCTTTGACCTTATATTATACCAAAATATTGTTGTTTTACTGTAAAATAAAGTATTCCTGCTTGTTATGGAGGACTACAGAAGTAGCCAAAGTAAAATGAGATAATCTGATGCACACTTTAAGATATAGGTTCATAAAAAGTAAGTTTAGGTGGTTTTGACACGCATACCTTTTCTTAAAACAGGTGGTACTTGCTCGTAGCACCAGAGTTGTGACAGCTGCAGATATTGATCCACTAACATGGCTGGCTTGCTTAAAGGTGTTCATTACCCACCTTATTTTTTTGAATACTTCACTAGCATATTTTCTCTTACTTTTGATAAAATATAGAGGGTTAAGTTTGCAGGTTGAAGGAGAAAATGCATATCAGTTCTGTTTGCAACCTCCCCATTCGCCGGCATTCATTGGAAACACTGTAAGTCAGAAGACTTTCTCAATAACTAAATGGTGTCATGAAGCAATGTAAAAGGTGAAGTCCGTGTAGTCTGTTTTATGTTCTTCAATTGATAGATCACATTAATTCTTTGGTGTGCATCCTATCAAAGTAGTTGCTAGTTGCTCCAGGTGAAATGAAATTATTATCACATGAAGCAAAATACTTTTGAATTGTTATATATCGCAGCTTCTGTTATATCATCAAATATATAAAGTGTTATTTTGACCAAAAATATAATTTCTGTGATGGTGTATCTGGTAAAAGTCAAAAAAGAAATATGTTAATTATGCTTAAACTTTAAAAATGTTCCAGTATGAAATCCTGAAGGTATGGTCTTTAATGTTGGAAGAATTCCAAGTCAAATTTCCTGACCAGTGGCCACTATCATTTTAAAGCCTGATCACAACCATTCCTAATGCGCTCAAGAATTTCAGAATAGACTCTTACTAAATATCTGACGACTGAGCTTTCTTAAAATTTGCTTTGACTACAGCTGTTGTAAATACACATGGCAAGTCTGGCTGATAATTTATACTGGTGACAGCTGGATACTTGTGACGAATCATCTATAATAAGTTGAAGTAATCAGAACCCATACCCACCCCCTTCTATTGATCCGAAGCATCAAGCTCACTTTTGAAACTCTCTAGTGCCAATTATTAGCTGTGGTAGCAAAAACATCTGAATCTTTTGTACACTTATTAGAAACGGTGAGGACATAGAACAATTTTATTTATTACTTATGCTCTTTTTGAATAGCCAGAGCAGCTATTTCATCGGGACCGCCTCAGCATTTGTAGTGAGGCTTTAGCTGGAACACGGGCTAGGGGTGGATCAGAGCTTCTGGATCTTAATATAGAACAGGATTTACTATCCAGGTTCATCTTTCTGCTTTATGTTCTATAAAAAGCACTAGGTCACTATTATACTTATTTTTTTATTGGTGTATTGTTTACTATATTCTTATATTTTCTTACAGCGCTAAGGACCATAATGAGTTTGCTATAGTACGGGAGTGCATAAGAAGAAGATTGGAGGTAAGCTTGGTTAAGAGGTTTCTGAACAGAATCTTAAGAAATTTCATAAGGGAAAAAGAAATTTTGAGATCTCTAATTGGGGGATTGCACTTGTTCATTTTAGTTTGGTGACATGTACATTTAATTTGACTTTTTAATAATTTTGATGTCAAACTTGAACTATTCCGGCCCTGGAATTTCTATAGTTCCTAATCCACTTTTAGGACATCTCAGGAACCCTTCATGTTGTATAAAACTAGTTGGCCTCTCTTAACATTATTTCGTTTCATAGGCTGTGTGTTCAAGCGTTATAATTGAACCAAAGAAAGCAATAAGAAAATTTACAAGAGTTCAACATCTTTACGCTCGATTGAGGGGGAGACTCCAGGCTGAAGATGATGAGGTAAGTCTTGACGTCTTCTATCCCATTCATTACTTACCGAGTTTTAGTTGATGCAGGGCCTTATGAGACTCTTTAATGTAGACAGGGAAAGTTTGCATGATAGCCTTGTTTATGGTTTCTTCAAACTTTTGTTGTTCCCCCTGATTGGGACTGGTGGAGTTGGTTTTCATTGTTCTTGAGGGTTATCGTATGTTTTATGAGAACCAAAACTGAATGAAGCATCTATTAGCATTTCAACCGACATTCTTCTTGAATTAGTTCATAATTACTCCCTTTAGTTGGCAAAAACTATAATTCTGAATCTCTATTATCCATAAAGATGTGGTGATGATATGTATAGATCATTTTATTGCTTTTTCTGTTCCTTCTATAAAGCACCACACTAAGCATCTACAGTTTTCCAGTTTAAGATATTGTCATCCGTGCACCCTACTCCAGCAGTTTGTGGGTATCCTACAGAAGATGCACGGGCTTTTATTTCAGAAACTGGTACGTGCTAGTTGGTATACCCTTGCATGTTTGACTTTATTCTTGAACTAGCTAGCTCTTTGTGCGCACCAATAATGATAGATAGCTACTTATCTTGGTTGAGAGATTAAAAAAAATGAAGAATGGACGTAGGCTTTTGTAGCTAAAGGATCACTTTGCCCACTCATTATTGCAAACCCCCTTATGGAAAGCCAGATTCCTCTTGCTACAAAATGCTTATAGGTATCGGCCCTAGGCTTCCATATGAGGCCTGGACTCTGGTACTTGGAAATGCTGTGATTAGTCATACAATAAGACTTTAATTGATGCGTAAGAGAGTATTATCATTTTATGCAATGTCTTCATACAGACAGAATAATCAACTCAATGGCTTCTTGAACCTTGTGTTCTGGTATATGAGTTCTAACCAGCTGATGTTTCCCAGAAATGTTTGACCGAGGAATGTATGCTGGTCCTGTTGGTTGGTTTGGAGGGGAAGAGAGTGAATTTGCGGTTGGAATAAGGTCGGCTTTGGTTGAAAAGGTGAGGTTAATACTTCATAGCACTTCACCTTTCATTATAGAGTACATCTCTTGCAACTTTGCAAAACTAGTTTGCATGCATTGCTCCACAGTATAGTAAGAATTTGCTGTTGGAATTTTAAAAATATAAGTATTAAAAGGCATATGATGAATATTTTTATGAGAGGCTAATTATTTAAGACTTAAGGTCTAACTGATCAAGGAAAGAGGCTCATCCACATAAAAACTTGTATGATAGTTTAGTTCTCTGTCCAAATTTATTTTATTATTAAGTATCGATAAACTAGATATATTTCATATTTTTAGTTACCTTTACCTCAAAAAGATAAAGATTAGTTCCATGTTTACTATTTTATATGTTAGGGAAAAAACTAATATTATGTTCTAAACCAAATTTTATTGCACGCATATTTAATATAATCAAAATCTTACAAGATTAACATCAAATAATTTTTTTGTAACATTTATGGAATCAATTTATATGCTTCTGACTTCATTTTTAGAATTCCTTTAGGAATCCAGCCTTACATGACTTTGGCACTTACAACAGATCTGAGATTGGATATAGGCACAAAATGCATCATTTTGTTTACTTTCTGCATAAGCCTTTCCAGTGATACGTATTTTATATATTGCTGATGATGAAATGTAATAATTAGGGTCTTGGCGCACTAATTTATGCGGGAACTGGGATAGTGGAAGGAAGTGATTCATCTCTAGAATGGGAAGAGCTAGAGCTAAAGACTTCACAGGTATCCTTAACAATTCTTTTCTATGCTATTAGACATGTCTTTTATTATCTAGAGTGTGAAGAACTCCTCTACCCTCTGACAGCAATGACAACATAATATTTTTTCTGCTGCATCTTTCTATTGTCTCCTGCAGTTCACCAAATTGATGAAACTTGAGGCACCTCTTTTGACTAGAGGACAAAGTAGGATTATCAATCAGAATCAGAAAGGTTTGTCATGCCTGCCGCATCGTATTTAGTAGACATTTGTGAAAAGGAGAGGGGGGGAGAGAGAGAGAGAAAATTATACTGCCATCTTTTCATATTCTTTGTATGCAAATATCATCAACCTGTCATATGCAATTTTGGGGATGCAAAACTAATCCAAATATTTAAGATTTTACTCATTGTTTTGGATAATTCATTTGCTTGAGCACTTTGATTTTGCAACTTACAAGCTACTCTAATTATTTTTGTGTGAGCAACTCTTTACAGATCTTACACTGATTGATTAACATTTTTGGCAATTTAGTGAGATGACATTTTCTTGGAGGAGAGATGACGTACGTCAATCATATGATATAATACCGTTATCTTCAGCTTTTGATAGCAAATCAGATAATATGATTTAGCTTCCATCTTTCGTTACCAAAATGCAAGAGAAATCAACACCCAAATTTTCATTCTTATTGTTTGTTCAATATTTATGTAATCAGTAATTGCCTTAGCAAGCAATTATGCCCTTCGATTGACATAACACAAGAAGTAGAAAATTTGTATAAATGATTACCTTGTACAGATGTATATACTTTTTTTTGTTAGTGGAATATCTGATTCCAAAACTAGGGATATTGGTGACAAATTACAGAAACCTTCATGTTTGTGTTGTAGAAGAGTAATATCTATCTTTTACAAGAACACCTTCTTGTTCCTAATGTGTGATCATGAAAAATAGCTATATCACTTCACATTGCAGTTTTATTTGATTTGTCACTTTTTTACATTGATTGAAGGAAAAAGGACATTGTGTCAGGAATTTACAGAAGCACAGAGCATCAAAAACCTAAAAGTTTTTCCATCTTAGCTCACACTCATTCTCCCCTTCTACTTACCAGCATTGCATGTGAGAGGAGAAAGGGAGCAAACTGACTTTCTATAGTTTCAAGTCCTATTTCTATTCGTAACTTGGTGCAGACAAGCTCTAACAAGGCTTCCCCTCAATGCAGTTCAAAGAGCCTGAAAATCTTGTTAGCCTGCCTGCGTCTGATCCTGCCCTGGGGTGGATCATATCAGGACCCGTCGTGAATTTATGATTGGGATCTCCAGATTCCACGAAGAAGGCTCCGTTCATCATCAGATCTCCCTGTGATCTCCACACCCAATTCTTCCACACACTCTCAGGTGAATATTCCCTTTTGGTCACCTACAATAAAAGGTAAATGAGAATGAGCATGTATCTTCAACAAGAGTTAGTCACGTGTAGTATTCTTGATTTGTTCATTCTTTTCATAAACACAAGATTGTGATGCGACCTTGTTGGTTATAGATATCGTTTATCGTGTTTACCTCTTTAGCATTAGGGTTAGGCGGGGCGATGAAACGATTGCCCTGGCTGAGGATGGTAGGTTGTTGACTACCACCAACGGCATACATTAGCCAGTGAGTATAGTCATTGTTGACAGCATGAACAAATCCCCATCTCACTCTTGGCATCCTCTGGATCAGCCCTTGGCCAAAGTGATTAAAAGCAAGTGTTATTTGTAGGATTTCGTCCTGTTTGAAGCTGTCACTTGCCCCAAACAACATAACCTAAACAAAAACATATTGCAGATATTAAAACATTCTGGTTGTTTGCAGTCTCTGGTAGAAAATGTTATCAGTATATAGAATTTAAGCATTAATCCAGTTTTGGAGCTAATTTACGTCATTATGATGGGTGAAATGGCAGTTGGAAATGGTAATAGCAGTTGAAGCCTGCACGGCATCAATGAGTCCATCGTCACAATTAGACATGGAAACATGATCAATCCAAATGTTTGTTGATCCATAGATTGAAATACCATCACCATCACTTTTTGTTCGAAAACCGTAATGATTGATCGAGTCTCTAATTAGTCCACCATTACCAGCCTTTATATCATGGATATGAAGACCATGAATAATCACATTGTTTATGTACTGTAACATCAAACTAGCACCACCAGTAATATGCACTTGTTGTCCTCTGGCATCAATTGTCTTGTCGCCTGTCATAATAAGTTCTTGGTTTAGCTTAATGACCATGTGATGTGCAAATATGATCCATAGTGGCCCTGGCTGAATGACTGCATGGCGCAGTGTCCCTTGCTTAGGATTCACCATATCGGTGTCCCCAGGGTCAGTTACTTCGTAGATTTTGCCACCTTTGCCACCAGTCGTATGATGGCCAAATCCTAGAACACAATCTGCTAGCTTCTGGCGATTTTTAGCCCAATGTGGGTCACATCTCCAGCAACGATCAATAGGGTTTGTAGCCACGCATGGACCATTGTACTTGTGCAAGTCCCTTCTTGTGCTATTGCTACCTTCTTCCGACCTACAAATCAAAATAAGATGAAAATGTGATGGTTGACTGTACCATGAAAAAACTTGCCTAGGTGAATCCTTTTACTAGTGTGTGTGTGTATATATATATTATATATATATATATTGATTATTGAATCTCATGGACGTGTAACTAGCAGCAAAAAGGTGTTCAAAAATACCTGTGAACATGTTTGTTGAAATTAGCTGCAACTTTTTCAGGATTAGGATTATAGGATTCTTTAGCATTTTTATTTGCTTGGGTGGCTCGAGTCCTCCACACCTCATCAAACTCTCCAATATTAGCCTCAATGCTAAAAAATAGTGTGCACAAAATTACAAAGAAACTCGACCTATTTATGAGAGTTACCATTTTTCAATTATGGGTTGCTATATTTGTAAGCACATTCTTCTCTCTCTTTACTTGAAATTTTTGTTTAAATAAAAGTAAAAAGGGAGAGGAAATGAGAATGAGAAACAACGAGGGAAAAGTGGGGAACCGTTTTCCCTCTTAACGGTCAACTGTTGGTCTACTGTTTTATCCAGAGATATTGGCCGGTGTTTACGTAGTTTTCATGGATTCTTTTATGTTGGTAATTTTCATATATCATATGAATAAGTGAAAGACAAAAATATATTTAAAATTCTTGTTTTAGTGCATCTGTTTCACCGCAATCTGCGTTATTATATCCGAAAGAGAATATTTACAAGATTTTTTTGGAAAGAATTCGTTAAGGATAACAAAAATTTAGGTTAAAATATTACATGAAAGTGAAAGAAAATCTCAAAAACTATTTTGGGTTCATTACTAAACAAAGTTTGTTTTTTATGCAAGAGTTAAGTACATTTACCCCCCAAAAAAAATCAAGGTGCTTGGATTTACACATGTATTAAGAAAAGAATTAGCAATGACCAAGTTAATTAAAATCTACTGCAAAAACTAGTTTACAAATTGTCACCATGTCAGTTGTCAACTGCAAACATGCATTCCAAAACGACAAAAAGGAAGTACGCTTTTTTTCGTTCTATTGAGTTTTTTCAATGCTATTTTTTAAAAACTAATCAAAACAATATCCAAAGAGTCATAATCTAATCGAATGATATACTCTTAACTAGGCTTAGAGTACAGAAAACATGGGCAATAAATATATTATCGCGTATTACTTTAAATAAATGAAAAGGCATGTCTGCATTCTTTCTGTGGATCGTGTTGCAAAGCCAAGAGAATGGAAGCTCTGAATCAGTTTACTCATAACAAATGCAATCGACACCATAGGTCTCATTCACCCATTAGTCCAATAGAAAGAGACGCGGTTGATCTTGTCAGACTCTCCAACTGCATATTAAGCATAAACTGAAAACCAGGAGATATCAACCTCATGCTGCATCGCCAGCCACACTGCAACATACATGAGTATCAAATAACTGCATTACTAACGAGCCAAAAGAATTGACCAATAGAGTTATGCTTCATAATTTAAACAATGTGAATATCATTCGACCCCTTGGTAGGATGACTGGGTAAAAATAAGATAATGAACGAAGAAGATTATCCTATTCATGTATTGACGAGAGTCACACAGGAATAAATTTTTAGCATGACCAGAAAGACGAGATACCTATTTGCATAAATAGGGATCTTCATAATGTCAAAACATTACTTGTATAACTAATAGAATAGTCAATAGGGTTCGGCTTCACTGAAACTTCAAAACTGAATTTAATTTGAAATAATGCATAAACTTGTCAACAGGAGAAAGAAAGGAAATCTACCCAAACACATAACTCACAAAATAGCCATGAAAAAATTAACAGTCAATATCCTATTACCTATAAATTTACGATACAATAATAACGTGAATAGTGACAGCTTTCATTCCCACAGAGGGGAAAGAGACTAAACCAACAATAGCCAAATTACCAAACCCAACTGCAAAAGCACAAGTCTGTTTCATCTTCCATTTCACCACCTTCCATCAATATTATTCGTTTAGACCAAGTGTTAATACACATGGAGACGCACAGAAGGACACTTTACCCGGTGCTGGCCTAAAATAAACATTGGTGGTACTTCCAAGCAGCACAGGCGAAAAGGAGTTAACACAGAGGGAGGAAAGGGAGATGGTGGTATTTGATAAGAGGAATGTCAACAGACATAACGATGGCTGTAATACAACAGCTAAGCAGGCATATTTAAGTTGCCAGCAATAGTGGTTCCAGATTATATTTGATTGTCTTGATAGTACGATTACATAAAGTGATTGGCTGTTGACTAACATTGCAGAATGGGGCTCTCCGGCATAGGCATTTCCCCTCCATTAATTTTTTTTTTTTGAAAATGGTAAACTTTAATTCCCCTCCATTAATTAAAAAAGGAAGAAAATTGGAATTTCAAGGTACTCCAGTATGTTATATACTTTAGAAGGATGGATAATTTCTCGACAACCTATAATTCATCAAATAAATAACCAAGAAATCCACGAGCACTATCGGCCCACCCCTCTATCTTTTTCCACTTGAATACCATACTTTATGCTGGCAAAAAAGGTCTCACACATGTGACTTGCACCTATTCCACGAAATACACATATAACTTATTGCGCTGCTCTTACCAATAGACCAAAACCCTGGGGCTTCATCAAATGACTTAATAAAGATATCAAACATGAATAATCCTAAGGCGCAAGTACATTAAATACCATTGTGGTTCTATTTACTTTGGGTTGCATTTGAATTGCACGCATGCCCTATCTCTATCATACTCACTGATCTGTGTGATTCAATATGGCTATAGACCGTTCCAGATTTAAGTTCACATCATCCAAAGATTAGCAATTCCACCACTAAGCTATTCAATATCTATGAATGGTCAAGTTCTCAAAGATTAGCAATTTTACCATATTTCCGAGCTATTTTATGTCTATGAATGGTCAAGTTCACATCATCCAAATATTAGCAATTTTACCACCTTTCCAAGCAATTCAATACCTATGAATGGACCAGAAACCACATCCAATATACCATGTTCTCTTTTTTGATTACTAAGTGAAACAGATGCTTATAAGGATATTAGCAGCAACAACTAATATTAACGCTATGTGATGTGAGTTTGCTACACAAATTTAAGAACGTAAAAACAGGTATACAGACCATTGAACATCCTCCTGGAAAAATGAACTTAGAGATATGTTTAATACTTAAAGCTACTTTAGGACATTCCTAAAAATAAACTTTGGGATAACACAGATCAAATTTAAGAATTAATTCCACGAAGAACATAGAACAAGAAAAATAAGTGATAATACAACAAGTTTCAAGTTCAATCACAAACCTTTGTGTTTTGCTTTTCAATGCCTCGGTCACATTTGACAAGATGCCACATATTTTTGCTTCTGCAGTTAAAGAATTGACAACTTCTTCTAAAGATTTCAATTCCTCGTGAAACTCTTTATGTAAAACCAAAGAGGAGAAATGCTCATCAACAACCAAACCAATGCACTTGGCTACGTCCTCGAGTGAAGGAACCCATTCACAAGCCTTCAACCCCAATTCAACTGGTGCCTTAGGACAAGGACACACCTGAGGAAACCTCTCATATTTATTCAACCACTTTTGCAAGTACCGAATCATAACCATTATCTCTGAACCAGTTAATTTACTAATACAAGCACCCATAATAACTTCATCCACATTCCTCGACGCAAGTAAATAATGCAAACACATTTCAGAAACTGAGAACCCATCATGTGCTAGCATAAGCAATAATGAAGCATCCCTAGCTATATCCATCCTAACCGGACCGAGGCTCACATCCTTTGCCTTCTCAATTGCAGACATTGCTTGACTCTCCCATTCCCTCCTCACATTAATCAAAGTAACATCCCCATTTTTCGAAAGGGAGAGAAAATACTTCAGCACACACATCATATCATAAGTTTGAATATCTAATACATGTTTTACACACAAAACAACCAGCCAAGATTGCTTCTTTTCAATTAGGTTATTTATCAAACTTGATATGCCTGAATGATCAACAATCCCATTAACAATCATACACTCCAAGATCTCCCAAGTCTCTAAAACAACACAAGCCTCTAAGACCAAACCCTTGACATCTCTACCCATAAAACTACCGAGCTTTTCAATCATTTTTACAATATTACCCTCATCCACCCTATCAGGACTAACTGAAATCCCAAATATATCCCAGATTCCCTTCATATAGGAAACCAACACCTCAAAGAATTCGTCTTTATTGAACGTGTTGGGGTTCTTCATCATCTTCTTCAATTTTTTGAAGAATTTTTGTCCTGACTCCATCACTTCAGCATCAGTCGATAAAAGGCTCCACCCAGTCCCTCGCTTGAGTAGAGAAATATCATCGTTATCCTCCTTTTCGGGTTTCAGTTGAAGCAGAACTGGTTCGGAGTTGAGAAGAATAGAGAAATCACCATCGGAGGTGGTTGAGGAATTTCCAATGGAAGCTTTAGTGATAACTTCCAGTAAAGACATTGAGAAAAATGGATACTTTCTTCGACTGTAGAGAGGAAATTGCTGAGCAGAGAAGGATAACAGGAGGTTGTTCAGAAAGGGCGGAGGAGAACGGAGAGAGGCAACGGCGGCTTTAGGGTAAGGCAGCGAAGCACTTCACAACATAACAAAGTATAGTTAAGTAGAATTGTATTTTGGGAAAGACAAAATATATACTCGAAGGTATAGTTAAAGAAATTAAATTTAAAAAAGTATAGTTTATTAAATTTAATTTTAATTAATTAATATGTAGTTTGCTTTATTAAATTATATAATTATAAAAATTAAATTAGTGTGATATAAATATCGCGTACGAGTAAAAAAATTTTATATACTTAAGTTTTTATACAATGTTTAAAAAATTGCGAGTCTATTGTTTTATTATTTTTTATATACTTAAGTTTTTATACAATGTTTAAAAAATTGTGAGTCTATATTGTTTTATTATTTATTTTTTAAAAATGGCGATCCGGATGGGGGAGGGAGGATATACCTGCACTATTTTTTTTTAAAACTATGATATATTCATTTTAAATTGCCAAGTTAAAAAGAGTATATTTTTCTCTTTTTCCATGTAATATTATAATATATATAATTATTATTAATACAGAGTTGGACAATATATTTAGACTGAATTGAACCTTCAAAGTTTCAGCATCATTACCACATAAACCTGATTATTGTACGATTGAAAACAATATCATATTCGTTAGTGAATGTATGATTGCCAATTTTTGTTTTTGTTACTTTCATAATTATATGTAAAAAATCAATTTGGCTAAAAAGTTATTTTCGATCGATCATTGTAAAAGGAAGTAGTCAAAACGGGATACTAGTATCATGCTCATCTACAGACTACAAGCAAAGATCCATCCATTGGCGATTTTGAATTTTAAGAACTTGAACTAGAGAGGGGCAACGAGATTCGAG